ACTAGAAGGCATTTGCAATCGAAAGCTGACGACCGATAAGATTTCTTCTTCATATTTTTGCGAAAATGTGGAAAAATGCAGCTCAAGAATAAGGGCTCTACAACACTATAAATCTCGGATGGACTCGTAGATCCTTGCAGTACTACTTAAAAGCTCGCCGGACAATGACACTAGCCTTTCAGACAGGTTGGACATGAAATTTTCGACTAAAACTGCTTTTGATGTTAATTTCTTCACATTAAAAATTTTATGGGGTGCTTCTTGAAGGGAATTTTACGCGAAAATCATAATGAAACCACTTTTAACCCTCTAAATTCCGTCTACCCATCTATATGAGCTTTTAAGGGGAGTCGGACTTTGAAAAATCGAAAAATTTATGATTTTCAGTTTTTTGTGTAACTATTTGCTACATACTCTCAAGATTAAGATGAGACAAAGATGAAATCTTCCTGACCATTAGTTGAGGCAGAAAGAATATTTGAATGCGTCGAGGTCGTGCGTTGTCCCAACCTTACTATACCTACCCCAAAAGTCTTACTGATTCTTTAACCCTTGATTCCCGATAATCACAATTTTTTACATATATTTTTCTTTTTCTCAGGATCTACTGGGGTTTTTTTCACGCTTTTTTTTTGTTTGATTCCTTGTACTCTTCTGCACACTTTAACACGGGCTTTGCTTGATAAATTGATATTTCAAATTTTGAGGACACTTTAAAGTCAATATTTTTGAAAAAAAAATATTACCAAATTGAAAAAATTCATAAAAAATAGAATTTTCAAAATTTTGGAAAACCCCCGTGTTAAATTCATCCTAAAGATGTCAGAAATCCAACGAAACAAACCGGATGAAAAAAAGACTCAGTAGACTCTGAGAAAAAGAGAGTTGAAGTTGGATAAATTAACATGGGCTAGCATAGGAAGTCCGACTCCACATTTGCACAATGTTTCCACATTTTGCTTAATTTCTCCCACTGACTCGACCCACTAAGCGCCGCCACGCCGCGCCGCGCCGCTCCACTGTGCTGCGCTGGTGAGGCGGTTAATGTCTGAAGTCAAAACGCCTTCCTTTCCGTGCGTATGCAACCTGGACATCCGTGGAGCGCGAATAGTTGCATCCTCAGGCGATATAATGAAATTCTCGTATTATCCGTCGCATGCAACGTTAACTGAAGCTTTGACAATTTCTCTAGTTTCTCTTACACCTGAATTCCAACGCTGCCTGTTCTGCCAATGAAGTAAACTACGTATTACTGATTTTTATCGCAACATTGTTAATTTTCCGCGATTTTCATTTAAATGCGTATTACAACGATGTATGATATGTAGAAATTTCTTAACCTACTTCAGAGTCTTTTTTTGCTTGGATATTTTTTTGGTTCTTCTAAACTGCTGTGCTAAGGAAAAACGCCGTATGAACATCCGAGAGTTGCCAGATTTCCCTCGATAAAATGTTTATTTTTGAGGAGAGTTATGAATATTTTTCCTTGAAATTTTCAGGCGCTTTAGATGAAATGGCGAACAAAATTATCTCAGAAATTTGAAAGGAATATATACCTAAAATCACCAGGAAATTCGTGTTTTTTCAAAGGACATGTGGCAACGCCTGAAGGTTCATACGGCGTTTTTCCTTAGCACGGCAGTAAAGGCGCAGCGCTTCGGGGAGTGGACCACGGAGCAATCAGGTGGCGTCCCTAAGTTACCCATTTAAATCCTAAAAAAACCGGAACATAGAAAAGAAAAGAGCAAGAAATCACTTCGAAATTTAAAACATGTTTGAGTACGGTAATGAACAAAAATATTGGCGCAAGGGTATAGAACACCGGCACCTAATTTAGTTGGCCGCGCTGATGCGGGCCCTAGTAGCAGAACCACAGAAGAAAAAGATAAATATTATGTACGAAAGTTAATTTTTTTTATATAATGCATGCATACAAAAGTGTTAAAAGTGAACATTTTTATGTAACCATTATATAAAAAAATGTTATAATTTTCGTGAGCTTTTCGCGAACATACTAAAAATTCTTCTAATTCGCGAAAAGCTCACGAAAATGATGACCTATTTTTTTATATAATCGTTACATAAAAATGTTCACTTTTAACACTTTCGTATGCATGCGTTATATAAAAAAATAAAAAATGTGTGTATAAAAAAAAATACCTTATCTAGCTTTTATCATTTTTCATAGATTACGGTCAGGTCTGAACTTTGATTTTTTTTTATATAAGCGTTAAACGTTTTTTATATAAAACGATCATTTAGATAACAGATGTGTTTTTTTTATACTTTTTTTAGAAAAACAAAAATTTGTTCTGCTACTAGGGGGTGCGGGCGCTGGCAATTCAGTGCTGCCGCGCTAAGGAAAAACGCCGTATGAACCTTCAGGCGTTGTCAAATTTCCTTTGGTAAATCACCAACTTTTAGGAAAATTTGCAAATATATTTCCTCCAATTTTTCGGATAATTTTGTTCGCAATTTGAACTTAATTTCCTGAAAATTTAAGGGAAAAATGTTCATAGCTATCTTCAAAAATTAACATTTTATCGGAGGATATTTGGCAACTCTCGTATGTTCATACGGCGTTTTTCCTTTAGCACGGCAGAGTGGAACCGCGGAGAGCAGAAAGGAATCAAGCCGCATCCAGGGCCGGATTTAGGGGGTGGCCACATGGGCCGCGGCCCATGGCGGCAAATTTTGCAATTTTTTTTAAAGGTAGGTAATTAGGTATAAAGAAAAACCGGATTCAGAAAAAAATACAGACGGGAAGAGGTGACAAAATCTCTCATTTCCTGAGAGTATATCTCTAATGGGCCTGTTGCATGCAAGAGATACAGCCGTGCGAATAGACTTTCGAGAGGTTAAATGACACGAAAATTACGATGGTCACATTAAAAAAGTCTGAAATACACTCCTTACTGCGCAATTTGCGTTGTTAGGAACGCGCTTTTTCAAATTTCCCGCGTCTGGGGGCAGTTTTCTAACGAAAACAATTAACGGCAATTCGCGGCTATTTCCGGTCAACTAAAACTGACAACATAACCTAAAAATCGGAGCTCGTGATATCGTGAAATGAAATGTAGAAGGATTGAGTTGGATATTTAAAAGTTGATCCATTTGGTTACCGCATAAAGCGTATATGGACCACTATAAGAGATCACGTTGGGTTTGTAAACAAACTGCAGGAAAAAACAACAGCAACAACATCGACTCGGCATCTTCCGGAAATCACCGAGCCTGCCGTTTGCTAGTTTCCGGTGATTAGAAAACTGCCCCCAGACGCGGGAAATTTGAAAGAGCGTATTCGTAACAACGCAAATTGCGCAGTAAGGAGTGTATTTCAGACTTTCTTAATGTGACCATCGTAATTTTCGTGTCATTTAACCTCTAAAAAGTCTATTCGCGCGGCTGTATCTCTTGCATGCAACAGGCCCATTTTGTCGTCTCTCTGTGATACAATAGACAGCACCTTTAATTAGTCGAGTTAAGACTAATTGTAAGAGAGAAACCGAACACGGAATTTGGCCTGGAACGGCGCGGCGCAGAGAGCCAGAACTTGGGCGAGAACTTGATGAGATGAAAAGGAGAAAACCTCGGCGCGGCGCGGCGGTCGGCATGTAACACGTATTAGCGCCTACAAGACTGCATGAATACTTCAAGCATTGCGTCAAAGACAGTGCGGTCGCTGCGGTCAGCAGCGGGCGGCGTGAAACGCATAGCGCCCACAAGACTGCATGAATACTTCACGCATTGCGTCAAACACAGTGCGGTCTGCGCGGCGCGGCGGCGGAAGTTAAAACCATTAAACCACATTTTTTCATATGAATGGAAGGCCTTGTCCACACAGAGATAGGTTTCAGGAACTTAACATTCGCGCCAAGTTTAGTGAACTTTCTCTCGTAGTGTTGACAGGGCTTTCGCAAAAAAATGTGTCCAACACGAGAAAACGCGTCTTATGCATCCCTTTCCCTCTGGCACGTTCACTTGATGGTTTTTACCTATTGATGTTTCAAAACGAATGAGAGGGGGGCGGCAAAATACAGGCGGCCGGCCCATGGGCGGCAAGTTAGTAAATCCGGCCCTGGCCGCATAAGCTACTGCCAAAAACTGCATGGGCACTTTAATTTTTTGCATGAGGGTGTGCGGAGTTTTGTGCAAATTCAGTGAATTTTCTGCATAGTTCGAAGCAAATTCCTTAAAATTTTGTAAGGAATCCGCACAAACGCTCTCTTGTAATTGTCCAGCAAAAAATGCTGGCAATAGCTGGTATGGCTTGCTTCCTCTCTGCTCTACGCGTTCCAGTTCTCGATGCGAATCATTTTTATTTTTTCACAATTTTTCGACCGGAATAATTTTGAGGTTTTGCCATGGAACATTTTATGTACTAACTTTTTTACTCGAAATGTAACTCCCCCCTCCCTCTGCTCAAAAGTGCCGGTCTCTTATCACGTACGAGAGAAAGGAAAAATTAATAATCCGCCGTCAAGTGCATATGAAGCTCGCCGTCAAAAATATTATTAATCCTCTTCAGATTTTCTATTCCACTTTTCCGCCTTTTTGGGCTTCACTTTTTCTTTCCGTTCCCCTCTACTTCCCGAACTTCCCACTCATAGGTACGTTTGCACAGATTGAAAAATACCTTTGGAAAAAACATCCCGGCTCAATTGAAAGTAATACCATGTAATACTACCTATCTGAAAAACATATGGCAAACGCTTCGCACTGAACGCAAATGGCGTTAAAGTTATTTGTAATTACGACAAAAATGTGGTTGAGAACGAATAAAAAGTGTTTTTCCGCAAAGTCATAAGTAATTCTGGTTTCAAATGTAACTTAGTGAATCAGAAAATCCATTCGTGCATTCATTGAACGATCTATTTGGACGATTCATCTCTACGAAGTGAACGTAGGTAATATTTTGTTGTCAACAGCCTATTATAAATATTGCAAAAAATAGGCGATGATTCTCCACAAAAACCTGGCTAATGCCCCTTTGAAATTGATCTACATTTTGATAGTGTTGATTTCATTTCTTTCCCAAGCTAGTGTTTCACATTCGAAGACATCCAAGCGAAAATTTTCGACCTATTTGTGTGATACCAAGTGAAGATTTGCCAGTTAGTGCTGAACAGTTATTTCCATGATCAATTTTATTTTATCCTGGCTGGAAATAGATATTCCTAGAACTAGCTTTTCCTTCCTTTCCATAATGCATGAAATGTCACGATTTTCCAGAGAAGGCATATTGTGCTTTGTCATCAGTTTGCTCTACTAATTAATTAGAGCATTGACCATTGGTGTATGCGAAAACAAACATGAAGGTTAATTTTCTTTCCGCTCCAAATTTTTATGTCATTCATGTTGCTTGGTTCCGAGGGATTTTTTCTTATTCTGTATGTATTCATCTTACTTAAATAACGTTTTGCCAGGAAAGTTATTAACTTTACCTAGTAGAGATGCCAGACATACTTACCTCCTTCCTGAAGATAATGAAGTCAGTTGCCTGATCACTCCTAACGTTGGTGGTTCTCCTAGCTATCATGATGTGAATGGCTGCCTTGACTCTGCAAGAGTATTTATTCAAACTCTTAATTGCATCCTTTTCGCCCTTTTTCAATCAAGGGCTGGCGGTCACTCCGTCTAATTTACATTCCTGTCTTCAACTACGTTCACCAGTCAACGTAGTGTTAAGCGACCTACCAACCTGGTGTAATTTTTTGGGCAGCAGTTAATGCCAGTCCACAGAATTAGAAGTTATATAAAAGTCACTCTCAGATTATTTGTGCTTCTTTATGTAGACTCATCCCTCTCATTTTATCTCAATGATCCTATGTGCACAGATCGATTTATTTTAAAATAAGCAGGAACCTCATTAAAGTGCTGAAACTGAAATTAGTTTGATTAGCAAATTAAGGGCATGCTTGTTAGTTTTTATGTAGTGACACCCCTTTATTAATGTGTGGATTTGCATCCTTGGATTTCTTGAGCTGTCATCATCGATATTTATTCTGTATACTAAGCTATCAGCGAATTTGTTTTCAAGCCTCATTCAATTTTTGGAACAGCAAAGCGAATGCCAAAATTATCTCCCAATATGTCAGCAAGATTAGAGATTATATAGCCCCATCTGTTTATGTGTCATTTATCGATTTTTGATGGTTTTTTGGGCTGATGTAAGTTTGATCAATCGGCCTGCAGTATTTATCCAGCTATTGATCTCGCCACTGATAATGCCGCATTGGCATCAAAACAATAGGTACACTGAAAGTCATAATTTTGTGTTATTATTCTCCCCCAAGTTATTATTTAGTGGTTCCATTTGATGCTTGAATTTTTCAGTGACCTTTCAAATGGCTCTTGGTAAATTCAGTAACCATCTAATTGTTAAAGGTACTTCGTAATCATTCTGATTGCCACCCTGAATATCCTCCATGTACCGGACAAGACTTAAATTCTCTGATTATGAGCAGATTCAGTGGATAAAATTCATAAATCAGTTTGGACTTGCAATAGGACTCAATCCTTATCAGAAATGTGGACGGTGAGACTAAGCACTCACGAGACAACGTATCTCTTTTGCAATGTTTAGTACCCTGCGATCTCATTTTATTTTTTTGAAAACCTAAATCAATATCATTCCTTGAAGTTTTCACAGAGTTTTCCTCGGTCAAAGGAGAAAAATCATGGAAGTTTTCAAGAATTGAAGGCTAATTTCAAGTCTAATTCGTAAATTACATCCGCTCATAATCAGAAAAGTCAAGTCTTTTCCTTGAGTATAGAGGACACTCTGGGTGGGTAATCAGAGTGATTACTATGCCTTTACCAATAAGATGGTCACTGAATTTCCAAGTAGTTTTCCGTTTGAAAAATTAAGTATGACAGGAAGTCTACAATGCTGCAAACAAGAACAGTGCTGGGTTCCTACTCTAATGGGCTCACATATATGAAATGAGGAAGATTATTCTAAG